ACACATTCCCCCACATTCCCAGGTTATCAAGGAGCCATTCTCTGTTTAAAAGCCCTTGTAGATTTGATTTAGGGAGTTCTAAAGGCAACCTTGAAGACTCCTTTGTCCCCAAAATGAAAACATGGACAGGAGACACAAACAGAAAGTGTCATTGTGCGCCAGTGCTGAGTCTCTGGGAGCCGGTCCTGACAGTTCTGCTTTTTAAAGGCCTGGGCTGTGTCAGAACCAGATTCAGCTCTGCTCAGCAGAAAGCCAGGGACGTCACCTAACAGCTGGAGTCTGTCCTCAACAACCCACTTCTTATTCCCTTTCAGGGTTTAGTCTCATGAGAGATCAGGTCCCGTGGGAAGCCTCATGGGACAAGGGAATGTCCAAGGAGAGCCCTCCAGCCTGGGGGCGGGGGAGGTGTGAGGTGTGGAGATGACTACAAAGTACTTAGAGGGCTAGCCTGAACACCCAGAGGGTACTGGGGGGGTCTGTGGGGGCGTTGACCCTCTACCCTTAGGTGGAGAACAGTGGAGCTTCTTGGAGCTTCTGGACTGAAGGCTGGCAAATGTTTTCCATAAAGAGCCAGACAGTAAACATTTCTGTCTTTGTGGGCCATATGGCCTCTGTCATAACAGCCCAACTGCCACTGCGGCATGAAAGTGTCCACAGACAACACGTGAGAAAACCCACATGATGTGGTTCAAGCAAAACCTTGTTTATAAAAACGGGCAGAGGTCTGCACCTGGCCTGGGGCAGCGGTTCACTGACCCCTGCACTCTAGATAAAGAAGAAGTCCGAGGACAAGTCCTACACCTCCCTTTAAGGATGGAGCCCCCCACCAAATGCTTCACACAGTACCTGCTCACCACCTAGCCAGGTACCTGGAGTGGGTGGGAGAGCCAGGAGCTACCAGAAAACACACACACACACACACACACACACACACACACACACACACACACACACACACACACACAGTGATGATGAAAGTAACCAATGTGCAAGCCAATGCCCCTGAGCAGAACATGTACACTGTTTGCTTGGGGGCTAAGTGCATAGTTTTTCTGGAGCCTATTCATGGAGACTATATAGAAATCTAAAAACCCAGAATTTTTACTCCTTCAGAGAGATTTTTTGTATTTCAAAGAGATTTGTTGCTGTTGTTGTTGTTGTTGTTTGTTTTTTTGGAGACAGGGTTTCTCTGTGCAACAGCCCTAGCTGTCCTGGAACTTGCTCTGTAGACCAGGCTAGCCTTGAACTTACAGAGAGTGTTGGGATTAAAGGTGTGCGCCACCACTGTCCCACTTCAAAGAGATTTTTACAAAGTAAAAAGAAGAAAAAAAAAAAAAGAAAATTTGATAAATGATACAAAGAAGCAATTCACTGAAAAGACACGATTACTAATAAAGAGGTGACAGGGGCCAGGGATGGTGGAACACATCTGTAATCTTGGCAGTTGCTCGAGTTGGAGGCAGGAGGATCAGGAGTGAAGGCTAGCCTGGGCTACACAGCAAGTTCAAAAGCAGCCAGAGTTACATGAGACTCAGTCTTAAAAATAAAGAAATAACAAGTAAAAAAGAGATAAGAGACTGTTTTGTCTCAGTTGTGATTAAAAAAAAGAATTTTAACTATGGCATCTAAGTTTTCACTGTGTCAAATTGCCTAATGTTTAAAAGATGAAAGAGGCACCTTTTTATTCCTAGCACATAGGAAGCAGAAACAGGCTCTGTGAGTTTGGGGTCAGCCTGGTCTACACAGCAAGTTCCAGGCCAGCCACGGCTACATAGTGAGACCTTAAAGAAACAAAACGAAAATAAATAAGTAAAAGATGAAAGAGGACCAGCAGGATGGTCTATTTAGTGTATAAAGGCATCTGAGACTAAGGAAGTTCCTTCCCCAGAGAGAACCAACTCAGAAAGCCATCCTCAAACCTCCACATGAGCTTCCTGTGCCTGTGCCTACAAACACACACAACAATCAAGTCAATCAATAAATAAATAAATGTAAAAAAAAAATGCTAAAGATGAATGATGTAGCCAAGCCGTGGTGGTGCCCTAGCTTTGGAGCCAGGCTGTCCTGGAACTCACTCTGTAGACCAGGCTGGCCTCAAACTCACAGAGATCATCCGCCTGCCTCTGCCTCCCGAGTGCTGAGGTTAAAGGTGTGCGCCACAAGAGACAAATAGATGAAAAGCACCATATGGGGAGTTCTTCTAGGAAATCCTACAGGAGCCTGCTGTGGTGGTGCATCTCTTTAATCCCTTTTTATTTTAAAACAACAACAAAGTAAGAAAAGTCAAAAGAATACTTAAGTACTTATGAGTTCATCAGTTTCTTTCTCTTTCTTTTTTTTTTTTTTTTGGTTTTTTGAGACAGGGTTTCTCTGTGTCATTTTTGGTGCCTGTCCTGGATCTCACTCTGTAGACCAGGCTGGCCTCGAACTCAGAGAGACCCGCCTGCCTCTGCCTCCCGAGTGCTGGGGTTAAAGGTGTGCGCCACCACTGCCCAGCAAGTTCATCACTTTTTCCTAAAAGTACCTTGGACAACAGCTTCCACCTTCACTTCAAAGGCTTTCTTTAATGTGGGGAGACAGTGAGAGGGAATATGAACAAGCAGCAAGGTAAATATGTGTGAAAATGTCACCATGAAATCGACTGTTCTGTATGCTAACTGGAAGAGTAACGAAAAGGAAGGGTGCATATACACACAAAATAAAGGCGTGCTCTTCTTCTTCTTCAATGTTTTTGTTTTGATTTGTTTTTTTGTTTTTGAGATAGAATTCTGCTACATAGCTTAGGTTGACTTCAATCTTCCCGAGAACCAGGATAGCATGCATATCACTGTATCTGCCCTACAGGATTTCTTTCCTTTTTAATTTAATTTTAATTTGAGACAGAGTCTCTCTGTGGTTCTGGCTGTCTGGGAACAAAATGTGTAGATCAAGGTAGCCTCGAACTCACAAAGATTCTTCAGCCTCTGCCTGAGTTCTGGGATTAAAGGTGTGGGCCACCACAGCAGGCTCGTATAGGATTTCTCAGAAGGAACTCCCCATATGGTGCTTTTCATCTATTTGTCTTTTGCTGTTACTGTTTGAGGCAGGGTCTGGTGGAGGCCATGGTGGCCTTGAACTTCCTATGTAACTGAGAATGGATGTTGTTACTGTTTGAGGCAGGGTGGCCCTGAACTTCCTATGTAACTGAGGATAACCTTGAACTTCTCCTGATCCTTGCTCCTCCTAAGCGTAAGGATTGAAAGAACATGTTGTCATGTCTAGCTGTCCTTTTTATTATTTCAGGGGTACAGAGTGCAAGGTCTCATTCTGTAGCCCAAAATGGCCTCAAAGTCACAGCAATTGTCTCACCCCTGCCTCCTGAGTGCTGGGATTACAGGCATGTACCACCACACCCAGCTCTTTTTACAAATGAGTGCTGGGGTTGGTACCCAGAGTCATGTGTGTGCTGGACAAGCACCCTGCCACTGGGCTACACCCCAGCCCAGATTTATCCCATGCTTCACGATGGCTAAGCCTGGCTCTGCACTTTGACGCCTGAGCCTAAGTCCCAGGACCATCTCAAAGTTCTATCCCTGAAATTCGGATCTGCCCTAACAGATGCCCAACGTGACTACAATAACAAGGGCCGAGGGCGATGATGCCAGGTTTTGATTTTTCATCTTGATTTTAAAAAGGTCAGTGGTTTTCATGCTGTCCAGGAACAAACAGAACCACGCATGACTCCTGTTTCACGTTTACATAACCCAGCGGGATTTGTGTACTTTTCACAGTGTGAACGAACATATTTCTCACTGTTTCAACATTTGTTTTCCTCTGGAATTATGAGAGGGGAGAAGATTATCTATTTTGATTTTAAATGTATCTCATTTTAAAAAACCAAAATAAAAATGCCCCGACAGATACAAAGTAAACCCGGAGGGCACCAGCAGAGGTGGAGTGACAGCACCTGGGTCTGTGTGTCACTCACCCTCGGACACCCACACCCAGGGCTCACCACACACGCTGCCTGCACTGGGCTTTTTTTTACAGACGAGAATGCAGTGAACTTTCCTTGTCTGTGGACACAGGCCCAGACGGGTAATCCTCCCTGCCAGGGAAAGCATAGGAAAAGGGAGCGGGAAGATGTGGGCCCGCAGGCTGGTCACAAAGGTGCCAGCACCTCTTGAGGCTCTTTTATCAAAGGACCAGAAAGGTCCCAGAGCGCTCAGGGTAAAATATCCACAAAAGGCCTCTCAGCAGCTTGACTCCTGACTCAAACGTAATGGGAAATCAGAACCAGAATGCAAAGAGCAATGGCGGTAGTGTATCCCCAGACCTTCTTCAGAGGTAAACTGAGTCGGTAGATGTCCCTGTTGACAGAAGCCTGGCCAGGTAAGTCTGCAGTCTTCCCTTGGGGAGAGATGTTCCTATTCCTTCTCTAACTTCCTTCAGCCCCGCCTCCGGCCCTCCTCCCAGCTTAAAAAGAACCCATTTTGTGGCATCCTGGTGGTCCTGCCAAGAGTACACTCCACATTCCAAGAAACGGCTCCACCTATCTGGCCAGACATCTGTGCCCTAGCCAAGAAGAGTGTCACAATGTTGCCGCTCAGTTCCAGGCACCTGCAAAGGTTGGGGCTGGGTGGTTCCAGGACAGGCTTGTCCACAAATGGCACTGTTAGCCAGAGTTCCTGGAGAGCCTCGGGACAGCAGCCATGGAAGACAAGACACAACATGGGCAATAGCCTTTGTTTTCCCTGCTCCTGTCTTCTCTGACAGGGACCTACTCCTTCACGCCAAAGGCAAGGCCAGAGGCAGCTGCAAGTCACCCCGGGAGTCACACCTGCCTGCTCTAGAACCAATGAGAATGGCTTTGCTGTCAGGCCACAGAACCCTTGGCCCTGTACTGCTTGGGACATCCAAGCATGTAGGGGAACAGAAAAAAAGGACTTGGAAACCAACAAATACGCCTCGAATCCACCATTCCCTCAGCTGAAAACGTTCCCGAACAAACCAATACTTACTGTCAACGAGGTGAACGTCATGCACATCCCCCCAAAGCCATTCAGAGCCAGGGCAATGAAGATGAGGACGGAGAGAGCTGTGGACAGACAGAAAGCCGTGAGGAGGGGACGGACACAGGAGCAGAGCTCCACACTGAGAAGGCTACAGATGAGCTAAAAATAAAGGACAGGCCGTCAAGGGTAAGCGACACCTGGAGAGCACTCTCTCCCTCACCCTCGCCCTCCTTCCTACCTCATGGAGCTTGAGTTCTAGAAAAAGATGACGCCCACTCTCTTTCTTGTTAACCCAGCAGCAATCAAAGGGCCCCAAAGAGCTGCTCCAGACAACAAAACCCCAGGTTCCTGAAAATCAGCACACGAGCCTGGCTCAAATGTTAGTGAAATTCAGGTCCTATTTTTTGGTGTTTTAAAAACCCTTAAACTCCTTGACTGGGGATGGGATCCAGGTGTTTCCTAAGCTGTTTTTCAAGGGCTAGGCTCAGTTGGGTGTGGTGCATCATGCCTGTAATCCCAGCCTTCAGGCTGAGCCAGAAGGACTACAAAGGTGAACTTGGATTTAGTCTCAAGTATCCAGGTGCTGGGGATAGTTCCTCAGTAACAGAGCACTTGCCTGGCATTTGCAAGCCCTGGGTTCAATTCCCAGGACTGAAACAAAAAAGAGGAGGAAGAGGAGATGGCTCAACCTACCATTTCTGCACCATGGAAGGCTATGTCCTGTAGCTGGCCTGCTCCATATAGCTTGTCTTTCAAGTGGCATCAGTGAGGCTACCACCAGGGACTGGGTTGGTGGCTTGGGGATGAGACAGGAGCCTCACAGACCCTGAGAACACCTCTCACACTTCTGCTTGGGGTGATTATTCTCTTACTAGCCATGCAGTTGAAAGAGCTAAATCCTAGGCAACACACCACCAGAAAGCTGGCCCGGCCACCCATGAGCTAAGTGAGTAGAGGGCTAAGGGGTATCCCTTTTGGCTTGAAGAGGGAGCACCAAGCCTAAGATAGCATCGGAGAACAGGTGGGCCAGTGAGCACCCGTGGATGATAGCACTTCCCCCAGCGTCTGGCAAAAAGGAGAAAAGACATACTCACAGTCTGGGCTACTTGCTCCATATGCAATCAGCAAGCAGGAGACGGCAAAGCAGGCACTAGAACCAAACAGAAGGCGTACTGTTGATACTACGTTACAATTGCTGTTGCTATATAGTTATTTGGGGGTATTTACTATGTGTCACTTCAGAACATTTTTAATCACTACTTAATAGTTCTAGGGAGACCAGGGAAGTATGCCTTATGAGGCATGCAAGATCATCCAGGAGGATGATGGTCTCTTGGGATTTATTTTCAGTGCTGAGAATTGAACCCTGGGGCTTTTGTGCTACACAAGTGCTCTACCAGTGAGCTGCAGCCTCAGCCTCACTTCACACTTGTTAAAATTTCATTCATTTTGCTAGGCAGTGATGGTGCATTCCTTTAATCCCTGCCCTTGGGAGGCAGAGGCAGGTGGATCTCTGAGTTTGAGGCCAGCCTGGACTATAAAGTGAGTTCCAGGACGGCCAGGACTACACAGGAAACCCTGCCTCAAGAAAACAAAAACAAAAACAACCAAACAAAAAAACTTCATTCATTTTAATTAACTGATTAACTTTATTCTTACTTTTTTTTTTTTTTTTTTCAGTGCTGGGGGTAGAACCCAGGGCCATGCACATGCTCACATGCTGGGCAAGCACTCTACCACTGAGCCTACCCATAACCTTTATATTTAAAGCACACAGTATTAGGAATGGCGTATGTGAGCTCTAACTCAGTTGTAAGACACTTGTCCAGCATACATTAGGCTGAGTTTCACATGCAGCAATTCTCACCAACCCCCTACACACACACACACACACACACACACACACACACAGGAGGAGGAAGAATGATACATGTATACCTAATCTACATCTGCATATATTTATACATGTTCAAACCTTCTTTCTTCCTGGAACGAGTATAAGACCAAAAGTCTTTGGAAACCAATGTTCTTTTCTACTTATTTTACTTTGCCGCGTATAGACACACACGTGTTGGTGTGTGCATTCCATGGCATGAGTGTCGTGGTCAGAGGGCAACTTGCAGGAGTCAGTTCTCGAGCTTCTACCATGTGGGTTCCAAGGATAGAACTAAGGTCGTCAGGCTAGGTGGCCAGCGTCTTTACCTGAAGAGCCGTCCTGATGGCCCCACAAACTAACGTTAAAGACCAGACAAGCGAGTTCAGTCATCACAGATGGGCGTGAGGCCCGTGGCTTGCATGTAGAACTACTGATTCTGCGCCAGGGAGTGTAGTAACCCTGCCTCAGGCAGGCATTTAGGGAGCCCCATGGTGCACCTGCTAGCACATTCCAAGGTTGCCTGCATCAGGGAATGAAGCTCGGCATCACCTATCCTTATCCTGCCCCCAAGGCACCCATACTGACCTGCCCAGCAGCCTGAGCTTCCTTGGACCATACTTGTCCATGATGATGCCCAGAGGCAGGGTGATGGCACTGAGCAGGAAGGAACCCACGGTGAACGCCAAATTCAGAATCTCATCTTGGGCTTTGCAGCTGAGCCAGCCATTCATCAGGATCACCTCCTCATGACCTGGCTCTGCCGTGCTCCCGACGGTGCCATTGGTGACATTCTCTGTGTATAAAAAGAAAGAGAACGTGGCAGGCATTCGCAAAGACCTAAGAGTCAGATGCACCTTCAGAACTGTACCACGGAGAAAGCCAAAGCTCGTTCTGAGAGCCTTGAGGCTCCGGCAACCGATAAGACGGGGCTACTTCCCCCAGACCCCCTACAGCGATAATGCAGACGTTTTCAACATTGGTAGAAATCACAGACCAAGCCGGGCGGTGGTGGCTCACACCTTTAATCCCAGCACTCGGGAGGCAGAGCCAGGCGGATCTCTGTGAGTTCGAGGCCAGCCTGGGCTACAGAGTGAGTTCCAGGAAAGGCGCAAAGCTACACAGAAAAATTCTGTCTCGAAAAACAAAAAACAACAATAAAAACCAAAAAAAAAAAAAAAAAAAAAAGGAAATCACAGACCAGTCAAAGAATCCAATAAAGAAAGTCATTCCTCAGAAAACACAGAGTCTCGTCCACAACTTCAAGGGCTTCATGTGTCCCTTGACGCCAACCATTAGACCCAGATTAGGATTCCCATTCTAGAATGATGGTGAATGCCTGTTGTCTAAGCAGGAGGATCAGAGGCTCAAAGTCATCCACAGATAATGAGCCTGAGGGCAGTCTAGGCTACATGAGACCCTGTGTCACAAGGGAAAGCTGGTGGTGGGATAGGATGGCTCAGTAGGTACAGGCACTTGCTTGTCCTAGAACTCACTCTGTAGACCAGGCCTGCCGCTGCCTCCCAAGTGCTGAGATTAAAGGTGTGTGCCACCACTGCCCGGCAAGAATTTCTTTCTTTCTTTCCTTCCTTTCTTTCTTTTTTTTTTCTTTTTTGGTTGGGTTTTTCAAGACAAAGTTTCTCTGTGTAACCTTGGCTATTCTTTTTTTTTGGTTTTTCGAGACAGGGTTTCTCTGTGTAGCTTTGCGCCTTTCCTGGTACTCGCTTTGGAGACCAGGCTGGCCTCGAACTCACAGAGATCCACCTGGCTCTGCCTCCCGAGTGCTGGGATTAAAGGCGTGCGCCACCACCGCCCGGCTCCTTGGCTATTCTAAAGAATAACTTTCTTAAAAGAAAAACTCCAAGGCCAGGCAGTGGTGACACATACCTTTAATGCCAGTTCTCAGAGGCAGGTGGATCTCTGTGAGTTCAAGGCCAACCTGGTCTACAGAGAGAGACCTGTCTCGAAAAACAAAACAAAACAAAGTGATTTCCATTCTAGAGTATCCTCTACTCTACACCCAATAACAACAGTAGCTCAGGGTCCAACCTTGGCTGTGGAGCCCCAGGCTATCTCAAACATTCTCAGTAGCGCTGTCCACAGCAACGCATGTAGCCACTGTGGAGGAGGACTTGGGAAAGATAAGCTGCTGGTCTCACCAGAAAACCTAGGTTTTCCACAGCCAATCTGAGCAAACTGGATGAGCCTCTTCGCTTCTACTTCTAAATCACAGCACAAGTCACATGACAGCTTCCACCCTCGACTTTCCATACCTCCAACCACCACACATTATAATTCAGAACCAAAGGGTTGGACTTCTTGTTTTGTTTTTGAGGTACTGGGGGACTGAACCCAGGTCCACGGGTACATAAGGCAAGCTACCTACCACTTAGCTGTACACCCAGCTTGGGTTTTTGTTCTGTGAACAGCACACAGTTACTTTTCTCTCATTTATCAAGACGTACCGTTCTTAGTTCTCTGACTGGAGCCCTGTGTTGCTGGCCACCCCCTCCCATAACCACCCCCCTCCCATGACCACATCCAGAGCCTGCCCCACACCCAGGGGGCACATGAGTGGCCCCTCCAAAGTTCAACCAGATCCAAAAGAACACAAAACAGGGAGGAAGAAAGAAGCACTGCCCTAGCAGGAGGGGTGGGGGCGAGCTTGGGAACGGGACGGAGGATCTCCTCGCTGGGACCCACTCCTTACGTGATGCTGACTACTCCTGCAGAAACAAGTCGACTAATTAGCTTGGAGGCTCCACCAAAGAGCCAAGGAAACGTCGTCCTCGGATTAACTGCCTGCCTCCCGGGTGCAGTGCTCTGTTGCCGGGACTGCTTAGATGAGGGCTACAAAGCCTTCCCAGGCCTCTCAGAGCCCCCCCAACTGAGAAGAAAGCACTTGGGGCGAAGAATGGCATATGCCAAGCTCTGAGCAATAAGCCGTGGTAGGGACAGGCAGAGACTAGGATGGCAGGGACCTGCCCTGGGTTCTAACTTCCCCTGCCCTGCTCCCTGCACTGTGTACCCTTACAGGTGGGACTTGATCTGGATCTGTCGGTTCCCTTATCTGTGAACTAGACATATAGCGGATCGTACATACCTCTAGAGCTCTGGGGACGATCCCGAGAAAAACCAGCTGGCATTCTAGAGCTCCCCACGGGCATGCAAAGTGTTTGGTAAATAACTACTGTTATTGCTAATGTCAGTTGTGCTGGGAGTCAGGACGGGGTGATCTAACAGGGTGGCAGGGAACACAGTGCTGGATCAACGTGTGATAGCGTGTGTGCTTAGTTGCCCACTGGGCTGAGTCTGAGGCTCCCACTGTCTTTTTCTGGCTACCGTGTCGCATTATCTCAGCGGGCCCTTGCCACAGTGGCTGTTTAATGAATGAGTGGTAACAATGAACCAGATTCCAGGGGCCAAAGGGGCCAAAAGGGGGAAGGAAACAGGACATGTAGAACCAAGCTGACCACAGAGGGACTTAGGAGAACAGAGCCTCAAGTTAACAGCCTGAACTCACAAGCAAAACCTTCCAGGACAGACTCCCAACCCCGCCACTTTGAATCCCCTTTCCAAGACATCTTCCACACTGACAGCCCAAACACACGGCAAACAGGGTTCTCGGGCCCATTGGTCCCATGTGTTGCTGCATTGGGCAGGTGGGAGGCAGCTCCTGGGAGGGAAGAGATGGTTTCGGGTGTCAGCCCTGCAGTGCGGGGAGCGGGGCCTCCACCCAACAGTGAGCATTTCTAGGCAATCCTGCAGGTCTGACAGCCAGCACAGATGAGAGAGAGTGGGCAGGTGGAGGGGGAGCACTCCAGCCTGAGAGACCTGACTGTGGAAGCCAGTGACTCGCACTCAAGAACTTTAAGTGCCGTGGGCGCTCTGACGACACGGAACAGGGGAGGAGGGAGGTTATGGGGATGGGGGGCAAGGCCAGCCCAGGGGCTCACAACCACTGAAATGACAGCTTCAGAGGACGCAATGCTTTCTGACCTCCAATGGCACCAGGCACACATGTGGTACATATGAACACATTCAGGCAAACATTTATACACATAAAATAAAGTAACAATGATTTTTTTTTTTAATCCTAAGATAGGCCAATCGATGACTAACAGGTAAAGGCACTTGCCACCAGTCCGGACAACTTGAATTCAATCCCTAGGACTAACATGGTTGAAGTTGAGAACCAACACGTACAAGTTGTTCTGACTTTCACATGCACACCGCAGTTCACACACACACCGCAGCTCACACACACACACCCCAGCTTACACACACACACACACACTGCACCTCACACACGCACACCGCACCTCACACACACACACCACAGCTCCCACGCGCGCACACACACACACCCCGTTGCTCACACACATATATACACACACACACCGCAGCTCACACACACACCGCAGCTCACACACACACACCCCCAGCTTACACACACACACACACACTGCACCTCACACACGCACACCGCACCTCACACACACACACCACAGCTCCCACGCGCGCACACACACACACCCCGTTGCTCACACACATATATACACACACACACCGCAGCTCACACACACACCGCAGCTCACACACACACACCCCAGCTTACACACACACACACACACACTGCACCTCACACACGCACACCGCACCTCACACACACACACCACAGCTCCCACGCGCGCACACACACACACCGTTGCTCACACACATATATACACACACACACCGCAGCTCTCTCACACACACACACACACACACACACATACACACACACAACTAAATGTAATTTTAAACATTAAAATCCAAAGGCACTCTCAGTCTCCTGATACGGTAGAAACAAGGATGAGGATGAACATCTGGAGTTATCTGACGATCTGTTCAGTCTACCACTAGGCACAGGGCCTTCGAGGAGAGGGGCTGAGGTAGAAGTAAGGGCGTCTGTCCTTCCCTCCTTCATGCTGGAGCCACGATACCCAGGAGCAGGGACCAATGCTTCAAGCGGCCTGTATCTGTTCTTAAATCCTTGCCAATGGGGCCACCAGGCCTCTGCTCATCTCCCTCCAGAAAGTGACATCTAGCCACAAATTATCTGGGGTTGGGGGAGCAAAGAGCCTCTTTTCTCTGTCTTGGGAGCAACTTGAGTGTCCCCTACATGGGGCTGAACCTTCAGGAGTCTGGAGTTCTGTTGGCAATAAACAACCCCACACACTACCTCGGCCCCCGCAGATGCCCAGTCCTACCCAGGCTGTTCCAGTTTCATCTTCTCCCACCTGGCCACAGAAAGCCAGGAAAGGGACAAACAGATATGTCCCTAGGAAGTGTCAAGCCCCAAGGTGTCCCCTGCTCAGTCTAGAGTGCAGCCATCGCCCACTCAGCTCAGGCCAGCCTGTTTGGGTCCCGCCTGCCCCTGCCATTAAACAGGTACCTCGACCGCGGGCGGGGTGGTCAGAGCGGCCAGGACTGGCGCAGCCAGGGAGGGCTTAACCAGAAGACAGGCAAGAAACTGGTGGGCCAGAGTGTGCTGAGAACAGGGCTGCCGGGGCCAGGAAGAGAGAACAATGCCCTGTACTGTTGGCTCCACTCAGAAGACTCACAAACAAAATCTTAACAGAGGAGGCAAGAGAGTTCCGTGACCCCGCTCAGGGCTCCCCTTGGCTTCTCTAGGGTCAGAGAGAGTCCTCCCCTCACCCCAGGCAAACAGAGAGAGTGAGGAACTCCAGAATATCTCCCTGATGGTGACGAGGGAACAAAGAGGCACATGGCTGGAGACAGCCTCTACGGTCC